ATAACTGTAGAATATTGGAAATTAGCTAAATGTTCAAGCACAGGATACTGGCTGAATGAACTGTGGTACATACACACTGTGGAGTTCTACACAGCTCTTGACAAAATGATGAGGATGATACTGATAAACTGATATGGAGTGATTTCTAGAAAATATTATTAGGTGAAAAGCAGCAAATTGCAAAACAACATATATAGTACACTGAGTTATATAAAGCAAAAAGAGAAAATAAGAAAATAAATTTTTACCTGCTCACCTTTACAACAGGAGATGAAATTCAGATAAACCTGAATACAACGAAATTTGCTTCCTACAGAGTCTGGGAGTGGGAGGGAGATGGAGTGGAAAGAATACAGTGGGAAGGACTCTTCTGCCTGTATTTCTTTAAGTGTAGTTTTGGCTTTTGAAGGCATATTCAAAAAAATATTCAAACAATGACATTAAATCAGTAAGAATGGAAAGAGAGAAAGACCCAAAAACTGAAATGAAATTAAAACAAATGAACTTAACCATGTTTCCAGTGAAGGGCAATAAAAGGGAAATCAACTAAATAAACACAGAATTTAACTATAGATCCTCCAGATTCTGTACTGAGTAGTGAAAGAAATTAGGGGGAGGAGTTGCGAACAAATCCTGACCTTTATTTAGTAGTGCATTTTGTTGTGGAGGCATGGGCAAGCAATTAGGAAACCATTTTAGATGCACTATAGGATACAGCAAGTGAATAAATACATTGATGTTTTTGGGAACCAGGGATTTCACTGTGATGAAAGAGACTTAGACAAATGAATGGCTCCTAATTTCTAAAATAAGTACATGTATGTATATGTGCACATGTATGTGTTTGTGTGTGTGTGCGCACGCGTGTACATGCACTTATTGCTTAGATCTGTCTGCTGCAAGGGCCAGGAAGAAAAGACACCCCAGCAGCAATGAGCACACCTAGTAACTGTGTCTTGGTCTATCATTCCATTAAAAGGAACCGGTGTTCTGAGAAATGGCTGACCCCAGGGCCTGGAACAAAGTAGGTACAAATGAGCCCAAAGCATCTTATTATGCCAGAAAGTAAGGAAGTGTTTAGAAATGGTGGGGGCGGCCGGGCGCGGTGGCTCAAGCCTGTAATCCCAGCACTTTGGGAGGCCGAGACGGATGGATCACGAGGTCAGGAGATCGAGACCATCCTGGCTAACATGGTGAAACCCCGTCTCTACTAAAAAATACAAAGAACTAGCCGGGCGAGGTGGTGGGCGTCTGTAGCCCCAGCTACTCGGGAGGCTGAGGCAGGAGAATGGCGTAAACCCGGGAGGCGGAGCTTGCAGTGAGCTGAGATCTGGCCACTGCACTCCAGCCTGGGCGACAGAGCAAGACTCTGTCTCAAAAAAAAAAAAATAAAAAGAAATGGTGGGGGCATGCCCTGAGAATGTGGGAGCCAGGTTGAGGGGATTCTCATTGGCCCTTTTAATGGATCAAATATGAGCATCAAAATAATATATAAAGGAATGAATTATGAGCGATTAAATACAGGAATTCATGAGTCCAAGATATTGTGCTATGAATAAATAGGTACATACGTTAGTCATTGAGGCATAAGGAAGTGTTTTTGCCTGTATGAGGGCTGATGTGGAAGAAGTACTGAGTTCGAACATCACCAAGGCACCAGTAGACTAAGCAGGAGTCAGGGTGCTGAGTTAGGGAACTGAGTTGAGGAGCAGGATACTTGTCTTGTCTTCTCGGCTACCCAAAGGCTGCTTATTGGTTGTACCTGAAACAAAAAGAGTAATTATACAATGGGAAAGTCAGATCATACCTCGATCAGAATTCATACCACCCATGGGACATAAGTGCCTCCAGATTTGAAATTCGGAAACAGACACCACCTCATCTCCATAGCAGTCCCGCCGAGATGGCAGAACCCTAACCCATGCTGAGAAATGTTGTATTAAAAATAGAAGGAAGATGCCAGACGCAGTGGTTCATGCCTATAATCCTAGTACTTTGGGAGCCTGAGGTGGGAGGATTGCTTGAGCTCAGGAGTTCAAGACCAGCCTGAGGAACATGGCAAAACCCCAGGTATACCAAAGAGTAAAAAAATTAGCTGGACATGGTGGCCCATGACTGTAGTCCCAGTTACTCAGCAGGCTGAGGTGGAAGGATCCCTTGAGCCATGCAGGTTGAAGATGCAGTAAGCTGAGATTGCATCACTGCACTCCAGCCTGAGTGACACAGTGAGACCCTGTCTGTATTCTTCAGAAATGTCTATGTCATAAAAGAAAATTTCCAGAAATTTTCCAAAGAAAAATTCCAGAAATTCTCCAGATTGAAGGGCTATAAGAAATAGGGCAGATAAATGCCATCCTTGAGCCCTAGACTGCAATCTATATGGGACAGGAAGATGGGGAGAACATCATAAAAGACATTATTGCATCAATTGACAAAACTGGGATATGGGTGATAGGTTAGATAAAAGCATTATAGTAATGATGTTAATTTAGTACTGTTGATACCAGTACTGTATCTATATAAGAAATTCTCTTATAGGAAGTTGCATTGAAGCATTTGGGGGCCAAGGGCCTAGAGATATATAATTCATGTTTAGCTGTTTTATAAAGCAAAGGATGACGGTGTACGTGATAGACTAAGTGGGATAAGATGTTAACAAGAGGTGAATCTGGGTAACAGATGTTATGGGTGTTTTTGGTATTATTTTTATTCTTGCAACTTTCCTGTAAATTTGGAATTATTTCCAAATAAAAGAATAAGACTGTGGGTGATGGAATTTAAATAAATGAACGTATATAGAATAACTAAGCTATGCCACTTATGGAAGGACAGATATGACATAATATTTCTGCAATTATATGATTAGTTTAAAATCCAAGCATAATGCATAGCTATAAAGTCCTTCTTCCCAAAAAAGCTACTTCAAGGCCTACAACAAATGTTCTACGTTATATTATTGGCCCTCCTTTTCCTCATTTATAACAGAGTATTTTGGGGCTGGAGAATTAGCCTTCTTAGATAATTTAATGTTTCTTGTAGCACTAAAAATCAATGATTACATTTTGAATGTTTTTAGATCTAACCGATTTGCAACTTTAAGTAAGCTTCTTCCAGACTTTCTGTGTTTCCTGTACTTATTTTCAAATAGTTTCCCACAAGTTGGAATTTTTTTTATTTATAGAAATTGTTGTGCTCAGCTGGTCAATGTAATGGGGTGTCTTAGCCTGTTTTGTGCTGCTATAACAGAATACCTCAGACTGAGTAATTTATAAGCACGGAAATGTTTTCTTATGGTTGTGGAGGCTGGGAAGTCCAAGCTCAAGTGGCCAGCCTCTGGTGAGGGCTTTCTTGCTCCTCATCACATGGCAGAAGGAGGCAAAAGGGATTAACGCTCTCCTTAAGGCCTTTTTATAGTGCTATTCATTGGTTCCTGAAGGCAAAGCCATCAGGACCTAAACATCTCCCTAGGCCCTACCTTCCAACACTGTTGAGATGGGGATTAAGTTTCAAACACATGAGTTTTGGATGGCGCATTCAGACTACAGCTTGAGGGAAGTATCAGTTTGTCTAATGGTGAGTGCTTATAAAGTAGTCTGTGAGCTACTTTGGTTTTGCTCATGTTTTCTGCACTATTCCTTGGAAGTGGACAGAACGAACACTCCATTTATCTGCAGGTCTCTCTTCTTCTCAGAAGGAGAAGAACCTAAAAATGCCCTTCCAAGAGAAGGGAAAATGAAAAGGTCTGACTATGTGAAGCAGCTCTCACACTAAAGCTAAGGTCATCCACATGGCAGAAGTGCTGAAGCCTTGCACAGGGCATTTTTGTTCTTAAAGAACTCCTTAAGGTCTTAGGGGGTCATTGGGGAAGCAGTAATACAGGGATGAGGAAGCAAGGCCACTGACGGCCAAGTGGACACCTGGCATGGAACAAATTGGGGAAGCATCGTCAGAGAATTGCACTACATTTCCTAGGCTCACATGACAAATTTATTACCCTTACCATAGCTTAGATGAAATTTGCCCTGTAATTTGATCAGTTATAACTCTGATAGGGGTAGAGGTGGCCAGAGGAAAGGAAAAGAGTATTCTAGTGCTCGCAAAGACTAATTGCCCACTGTAGAGTAATAGCGGGGCTTTGGGTTCCTACATCAATCTCTCATGAGTCTTAATCGAAGCTCCTTTGACACTGATCTGCTCAGATTAAGTTGGTGACATGGAGTTTCCAGATGTGCAGGATAGGTGACAGATTATAAACTGCACTCATACCACCAGAGTGGTGCCCAGCTAAGAGGGCTGGCATGAAGCAGCATCTGCCCCCTTGACACCAATAACCCGTAATCCTCAGCAAAGTCTAACTTTTTTTCAGGTCCTTCTGCAGAAGGTGGGCAATTACACGTGCACTAGAAGTGTGGGCCTACACACCCTCTCGCCCCACATGGCCAACTCTTCTCCTTTAGCTTCTTAACCCAGAACAGCCTCTTCTAGCTGTTCCTCCTGCCTCTGATTTCACCTCCTTCTGATCCACTCATCAACTTTCCAACTCAAACATGTAGGACACCATTTTATCTCTTTCATAAAGCCCTTCAGGATGCAGGCTCAACCCTTCAGCATAGGCTGAAGGCCCTTAATTGTCTGTTTACCCTCCATCCCAGCACTGGCACCCAAACCACCCTGATGCTCAGCAGTCCAACCATCCCACTCACTCCCGCCTCTGGGGTTGCACACCTGCCTCCACTGTGGAGCTCCCCCAAGGCCTGCAAACCCATCTTGGATGCCGCTCCCCTTGTGGTCCTCTCTCCCACCTCTCTGGTGGCCTGGGCTCCAGGAACTCCTGCACTGGCTGCCTTCATCAGTGCCCTCGTCAGCACCTTGACACCTTGATAGTGTGCCTGCCCCTCTCCTCCGCTGGATTAGGACAGCCTTGAGGGGAGATCCCAGGACTTCATTCTGGAGCCCTAGAGCTCAGCAGTTATTAAATGACTCAAATGTTTGACACCTTATTTGGGTACTCCAAAGCTCCAGAAACAGATATATTTATTTGCTAATGAGAAGGGATGTGAACATATTGAAACAGGAAGGATGGGAAGGAGCAGGCGGCTTTGAGAACACAGGTAAGCCTGAAGGTCCCGTTTACCTCAGTGGTGGCCAAGGGCTAGGTGGGCATGCCCCTTGGTGCCCATGGAAGGCTTAAGGCAGAAAAGAAAAGAAAAGAAGACTAATGGAGAGAAAAGAAAGAAAAAGGGGAAGGCAAAGAAAGGATTGAAGAAGAAAGTGAGGAAGGTAGAGAGATTGCATTTCTCAGGAATCACCAGAGATGTGACAGTGGTCTTGGGCAGATACACACACACACACACACACACACACACACACACACATACACATTTAATGTGGGAGATCACTATGGCAGAGAAATGGCCTTTGCCAACCTCCAAGCTCACTTTCTTCTGTGTTCTAAGAGAAGAATCAGGCAACTCCCGAATGTGTGTGAGAGGTAAAGAAAGTTTGATGAGGTTATGTAGTTTTTATGCAATTATAAGCAAAGGCAAAATTCCTGCCATTAGGAAGCTGACATTTTACTGGGAAAATAGACTAAACAAGGCAGGTAAGTGAACTACAAGCAATGCATGGAGGAAGTAAAGCAAAGAAGGGCAGGAATAAGTGCTGGGAGAGGTGGTGTAGCAGTGTGTGGTGGGGTGGACGCTGGAGGCTTCTTGAAGAGGTGCAAGAGGAAAAAATGTGAAAGAGGAAGAGAATGTGCCCTGCAGATATTCAGGACATTGGGCAGAGGAGTTTCTGGAGAGGAATCAGCAGCTGCAAAGGCTCTGAGTTGGGAGGGTGCCTGGTGGGTTCTAGGAAGGCCCATGTGGCTGAGAATAGAGTGAAGGAGGTGTGGGCAGAGTGAGAGCTGAGGGAGGTGGTGACAGCTATAACCCAGACATGATGAGTGTGGGCTTTCCATTCACCAAGGTGGAAAAACTGTGGGAAGAGCAGGTTTGTGATGGGGGTAAAATCAAGAGCCCAGTGATAGCCTTGTTAGGTTTCAGACACCTTCGAGATGCCCCAGTGGAGCTGGTAGTTAGAAACATGAATCTAGAGTTTAGGGGATGGGTCTAGGCTAAATATATAAGTGCAAGCATCATTAGTATTCAGATTTAAACCCACGAGGCTGAGCAAGATCACCAAGGGAGCAGGGAGTGATGGAAAATAAAAGGTCCATGGATGAGCCTTGGGACACTGCAACCTGAAGACAGTGGGAGATGAGGAGTTCAGCAAATGTGACTAAGAGGGAATGTCCAGAAAGGTGGGACACAAATCAGCAGAGTGGAGCGTCTGGAAAGCCTAGTGAAGGCTGTGTTCTAAGGAGGTGGGATGAGGATTTCTGTCCACTGCAGTGGCTAAGTCATCTTAGATGTCTAAGAATGGACTCTCGGATACAGAGTTTTGGGTTGAATGGTGACCTTCGTAAAAGTGAGATATTGCAGGCGGCAGAAGTAGAACTCTTAAGAAAGTGTTCTGGAACGATTCAAGACCCAGAGAGAGGAGAGAGACCAGAGCCACCCTCTAGACAGCTGCAGTCTGTTGTGAAGGAAAACAGAGAACCTGGGTGGAGATGGAGGGAGAAGGTGGAGAGTCGAGAAAGTTCTGATTTATTTTTCCATAGGGAAATGACATTATATGTGTGTGTGTAATGGGAAGGACCCAGGAGACGATTTGGGGGGAGTGCCAACACAGTTGTGCGGGCTTCCCTCTCATGGCACAAGGGGTTGGGATCTAGTGCCCCAGTGACCTTTTCTGGGGTATGAGCACTAGGGGAGAAAGCTAAGACAGTGGCATCTTCTTGCAACCTTCTCGGACAGGTTGAACCACCAGGAGCTCTGCGCAGGTGTCACCACACTCCTAGGCGTCCGTTGTCACCTGGCCTGAAGCCCGGGTCTTGGGGTAGCAAACGTCCTTAGGTTCACTTCAGCCACATCTGTGCCGTCAGTCCATGGAAGCTTTTGGGTGCATTTATGAAGCTGCGCCCTGTGCCTGGTGCCTCAGAACTCAGTCCTTTAAGTTCCTCCCACCCAGGATCGGGAACGGGCCTTACCATTCTGCCGCTCCTGCAGCAGCTCTTTCTGGCGAGTGCAAGCCCACGGATTCCCCGCGAGCCGGGTTCGGGTGGGGAATCCGCGCAGCAGTCCCCTGCACGCACCCTCCCGCCGTGCCCTCCTTCCCTGCGCAGTGCATCGCTCGGTGCTCAGGAAGGGAGAGCGCGCGGTCCTGGGCCGCCAGCGGTGCTCAGGGAGAGGCTACAGGCTTGGCTTCAGCCCCCGCGTTGCGCCACGTGGGCGCTCCCCTCTCTGTTGCTACCCTCCGTGCTGCGGGATGGCCCTGGCTTTGGTCCCTATCTGGACCTCTTCATGGTGCGGAGACTGATCGCAGTTCCCTACGTTTTGCGTCCCAACTTCTCAGGGACAGAAAATAACCCTGGTGTGTGTTGGGGAGAAAGGGGAGAGCAGGCCTTTGGCCTCTTAAGGGTAGTTTGGGGTCCCCCCCAACTGCGCCGAGGCGAGGGCGCCTGTCCCCAGGCTGGAGGAGCGCCCCTAGCGCCGGCGACGTCTCTGCGGACCTGGTGGTCCCAGCGCGCGGGCATCCATCCATTCATTGCGACTCCAGGCGCGGCGGCCCTAGGACTCCAACCGAAATCTATGAATGGGAAGAGGAAAGAGAACCAATGTCTGTTTGCGCTCCCTGCTTCCCCGCACCCCAGCCTCCCTCCTGGCAGAGCGAACCCGACGCGTAGTGACAAGGGGCGGGGGTCGGATGGGGGGTACTGCGGGGGCGTGCAATAGTGGGAGAGCGTCTGGCTGGAGACTGCACTATTTATATACTCCGGTGCTCCAGGACAAAGAGGGCAGATTCGAGTCACCCCCCTCCCCCAGTCCCAGCACCTCCCCGGCCCGGCCCCCTCCTCTGGAGGCTTTGATTTCGTGACCACCCCCCCGGGGGGGGGGCGGGCTGGCAGGTGCGGGGGTGGGAACCGTCTCCGCGGGAGCAGCCTTGCCAAAGGTCCGGCTGCTGACGTCCGAGCGCCCGCTCCTGTCAATGAACGGCAGCGGCAGCCTGGGGACTGTTCTGGCAACGAGGCTACAGACGTCATCGCCTCCTGTTGGACGCGGGGGGGTGTCCGAGCAGCATCTCCGGCTTAAAGGGAAACTCTCTAAGTTCTGGGCAGCCGGGAGAGTCGTTCTTGAGAGCATATGCACCCCCAAATGTCAAGTGCACGCGGACACACACACACACACACAGACACACGCACGCACACATGAGCACTCATGTTCTAGAGAGAGAGGTCTGAGTCCGAAGTTGCTGCTGCTGGGAGCTTGAGCTGAGATGGACTGGTCTTCATGGGCGCCCAAGGCACTGGGTGCAACTTTCCGCGAGACCCCCAGATGGAAAGGTGGGAAGGAGGAACCCCACACACTCGCCTTTTGCGAGAAGATCGGCGCGCACCCCAGAGTGCCCCAAGCCTTTGGAATCTGCCTGCTGAGCGGAGCGCGCGAGCGTGGACAGGTCCCGAACTTGGCCGGCGGGCTTTCTTGGCAACTTGCTTTGCGCAGTTCTCCATGGAACCCTGGACCCACTGTGCTCCCGGAGCCTTACCTTTTTTCTTTCTTTCTTTCTCTCTTTCTTTTTAAATTTATGAACTCGAAATGAAGCGGAAAGCAGATACACGCGTCAGCATACTTTGGCGGGTAAGTTGACCGTTCCTTTTACCTATTATTTAACCCTTGAGAGTCCAGAAAAACTTAGTCCCAATCTTTGTGTGTGTGTGTGTGTGTGTGTACTTAAAAAAACTTCCTGTCCTTTCCCTCCACCCTGTTTAGCAACAAGAAAACGTGTGCGTGTGTGTGGTGTGTTGTGTTTGTGGACGTGACTGTTTGGGGGAAAGGGTGATGAGTGAACTCGAGAAAGAAGAAAGGGAGTTTTTAAAGCCGGAAGACTCAAGGGTTTGCAGAGGAGGGGAGAGAGACTGCAGCCCGCCCCAGCGCCGACTGACAGCCTCGGGGCTAACGCTTGATCCGAGGAGTTTGGGAGCTCCAAGTTCCCAGCGAGGGCTGCGCGCCAGCTGCAAACCGCAGCGGCTGCCGCGCCAGACCCGCAGGTGCCTCCCGAGGCGGCCTGGAGAAGGGATGGTGTGTGCACTGCAACTTCCTTCCTCCACAGCCGGCCGCCCTTCTCCAGTTCTCAGTGGGGACAGGACCCCCTGCGCTTTTGATCTTTCCCTCTGCCGCCACTCTCTTCTCTCCCCCCACCTTCCCCAGTCTCTTTTGCGAAAGATCCTATGATGTCATAGGGGAGGAGGGGGTCCGGAGTCCCCAGCACCTGAAAGCATCACTAGATTGCATTCTGCAGGATTTTATTTTCTTCATCTCACCCAATTTTCCTTGCAACCCATTGAAATCGCATCCTCCCCAAACACTGCAAACACTGTCCTGCCCCTCCTCCCCCCAAGCCAAGCCAAGCCCAGCCAGAAGATACCACTCCTTCATAGCTAGACAGGGCCAGGAGTCCTCACAGCACCCCACCCCATTGCCCCTCCAAATGGGGAAGAAATCCGCTGAGGCACCCAAGGAGCCTCTCATCTCTGGTTTGATCTCTCCTCCCCTCTCGGCTTACCCTTCTAGTTGAAGGAAAAGGAGGAAGGAGGAAGGAGGAAGGAGAGAGAGAGGAGAGAGAGACAGAGAGAGGGAGAGGGAGAGGCAGAGAGAGAGAGAGAGAGAGAAAGAGAGAGAGAGAGAGAGGCGCAACACCAGCAAACAGTCTCCTAGACGTAGGGCTACACTGATGGACCGGATTGTAGGATTTCTGCACTGAGTCCCTGCCCCTCTGCCTTTCCTGCCACCCCAAGTCCCTTCCCCTCCTGAAGCAGCAATCTCTTCCATCTCCCTCTCTGGGCTCTTCTCCCCACCCCTTCCTCTGCACCTAACCCCCTCCCCTCCATCTAACCCCACCTTCACTCTCCTCTCCGAGGGGGGAGGGCCAGGGGGTGGGGAAAGAAAACCCCCAAATCCCCAGCCCTGGGCAGAGATGTCGAAGAAACGCAAAGCCCTCGAGGGTGGAGGAGGTGGCGGAGAACCCCAGCTCCCAGAGGAGGAACCCACTGCCTGGTTTGGGGACAGCAGCGAGGAGCAAGGTAGGGGGCGGGGAGGGGGAGGAGAAAAAGGAACAGGAGCACATGCAGGAAGACGTTTGGGAGTTGAGATCCCTCCGCAGGAATGCCCTCGCCACACTTCATCAGAGCTCCCTATAGCAAGACAACTTGAGTAGACTTCTCCCCCACAGATGGGGTTTTACATGTTTCCTCAGGATACGGGGAGTGGGGTGGGAGTGAGCTGATTAGATAATGCTGGAGACCCAGATCTGCGTGGACTTGAAGCTGTGTGGGGAAGAAGTGAGGGTGGGGTGGGAAGGGAAGAGGCCAAGAGGTATTGATTGGGGACAGCTGACTATTTTCCCTCATGCCTGCCTGGCTGTCATGTGCATTGGTGTGGACACACTGTACTGGGGATGGAGGGCCTACATGAATGTCTGTGTGCAGAACACCTGTGTCCGGAGGGCAGGGGTGCCGGTGAGATCCCCCTCAAGCTCGTTGCTGATGAGGGACAGCAGGGAGGGACGTTTACTTCTTCCATGCTTCTCCAGTCCAGGGATGCTTAGGGCTGCGTCATGTGAAATCTTCATTCCCTGCACAGGCAGGGCCCTGTGCCTCCTCCTGAAGTTGGAGGTGAGGTTTTTGAAGCAAATGGGGTGATGTGCTGTGATTTCAAGGAGAGACGTGGTGGTGAAAGCAGTTGGGTACTTCTTTGCCTAGAATAACACCAATGAAAAACTGAAGATGGAAAATTTCCTATGGAAACACAAGTGATCCTTGGGTATCTGATTTCCACATAAAAGAAACCCAGGCAGACACCTTTTATTTCCCTTAAAGCTTTCTGGATTTGGTTTAAAGTAGGCCCCAATGAACTAGCCAGGCTTTTTCCGGGCTGCAGTTAAAATGCAAAGGAAAAATGAACCAGATGGAGATGTTTTGTTGTTGGCTAAGCTGTGGAAAATTCGGTGAACAGGCATGTTGGGGGAGAATCTGAATCTGGATAGGTAGGCAGCTAGGTAGAGGGGTTGTTTGTGTGACTGATTCCTTCCTGCAGCCCAGCTCTGTGGCTTCGGTTGTGGCAGGGGCCGAGCTGGGCAGAACATCCAGAGAGATGGGCTTGGGCTCCTGTCTCCAAAATGGAGGCAATGGCTTTTCTCCTTTGACGTCACAAGAAACACCAAGTCACAGAAGTCCTTTCCCCTGGAAAACATGAATCTTTGTGTGCAATGGGAACCTTCGGCATGGCTTGCGTCCATTTCCAAACAAAGGACGGGTTCTGGTCATGCCCGGAAAGTGCATTTTGGTGACACTGAAAGGAGTTGAGAAGAATCCCACCGCTTAACTCAAAAGGGGTATTTCAGTAACTGCAGGCTTTGACTTTCTCTGCTCAGTTATGATTTTAGAGCAATGCTAGGGCATTTCTTAAGTTACTTTTACTGAAAAAAAAAGGCATTTGGTAAGAAATTCAAGGTGTTGCAGGTGACTTTATTTGTATGGTTGGTATTTTTCCATCTTTGGGGGAAATAATTCAATATCACCATGAGAGTCTGGCAAATTCATCAGCTCCATATGCAGCATTTAGTTTTGACCTCGGGTCGCTCTGTAAAGGCGCATAGCCTTTTCTTTTGGTTAATAGCAAACCAAGTCTATGGGAACTGAAACCATTATTATGGTAAATAACAACCTTAATATTTTAATGCTATTTTAAAAATTAATAAATGTATGACTGCCGGCTGTGAAAAGAAATAAGAATTGTGTTTCAGCAAACATTTTTCATCTTTTTGGTGGACATATTTGGTATTAGGATTTAAAAAAAATCTATGCTATGGAAATCTATACTACCAGTAGCAAGTCATTCCCACATTCCCCCGGTAATACGAGTCTACAGAGAATATTTTGCAAATCAGAAGAGTCAACAGTAAATACCTGTATCCATAGTACTCGGAGATGATCCTAATTTCAAAATGATTTATTGTACAATTTTTTTTAGCATAAAAATGTCTAAAGATTTTATTGTATCCTTTGTATTTGGCAACTAAAACTGCTACTTGATGATTGTCTGAGAATATGTAACTGTAGAAACCATTGAGGGGTGAACGCTCCACCACCATGGTGTTGGGAATATATTTCTTTGGGAAATGGCAACCATGGCCCATGCCTGCAATGGCGGGAGCACATCTGTGCATTTCTGGTGGATGTCTGTGGTATATGGCTATATGAATACATGGCTGTGCACGCTTTCACGATGGGAAACTGGGAGGCCAGGTAGCTGGCAGTGTTTGAGTGACAGCTGTTCATGACACATAACCACGTACCCATGATTAAGATACTACATTTTCTCTGCCTCTCAAACTCAGTGCTGTTGGTTTTTACCCCTTTGGGCCTCTAAGCCAAATTTGACTGTACACGCACTGCAAAACAGAGAAAAGTATATATGTTGGTGTTGCTGACCTGGATGATAACCTCAGAGGGTTATCTTTTAAGTTCCAACAACTTGGAAGGTTTACGTGTTTGCTCATTTCAACCATTGAGAGTATATTCATAGAATGTATGAAATGAAGGCAACTGGAAATTAAGTTTCAGTGGTGGTCAATGATTTTAAGATGGCCTGTTGGCAGGTTGCTTTGACTTGAAGTTTTAAATAGCTAATAGCTGACAGGCTTATAGGCTGCCTAGAGAGGAGTGCGGTGGGAACTTTGAACGTGAGAACTAAAGCCCTTCGGTCCTGTTCACGTCCTTCCCTACCACCAGTCCATCCCAGAGTGCACGTGGTCTCCAGCCACAGCTGCTAAGTGCTCCTTTCAGGTCCTGTGCTGATACTTCCTGGCTATTGTGCTGTGTGGCCCCTGTATTGTAAATAGTTTCTCTTTAGAAGATTCCTTATACTGATGAACATAGGATAGTAAATGGGTCATTGTGTACACACTCAGATGGTTTTGGTTTCCTCCCTGACCTTAATAGATCCAGCCTGCTTAATTTAACTAGGTAAAAGGGAAGATGAAGTACATTATCCTAGCTTAGATTGAATGTT